GATCCCAATACCCCCTAATTAAGGAATGTACCTTAAATTATAGGGGGATTAATATTACGAGTTGAGGTCTATTCCTTGATTAAGGGGGTATTGGGATCTCCAGGCAGGGGCCCTTAGAGGGTACTCCAGGGATCTAGAATGGGATGCCTTTGAAAGGGTACTATAGGGTTCTATCATAGAGCTCCCTTTAAAGGCCGCCCCTTGAAAAAAACCCTTTAAGGTATCATCTCCCTTTAAAGGACCCCCCCTAAGGGAACCCTTTAAGGAAAGGATCGCGGCCCTGCGTTTTTCCCGCGTGCGACGGGGAGTTCTTTGCAGCGGCGAAAGGCCGCCCTGATAATATAGAAGCCTGAATAATTCTATCGGTTGTTTTTGAACGCCTTTTTCCATACTGCAGTACAGCACAGAGAACCCATTTCTATCGGTTTAGGGTTTAGGATTTCGGGTTTCAGGGTGTCGGTTCTTTGTGTAAGGTTGGGGTTTAGGCTACGGTTCAGTTTTAGGACTGATCTAGGGTTCAGGGTTTAAATTTAAGATTTATGGCGTTTATGGTTTGGGGTGTTTTGTTGTTTGAATATCTATGTCGGCTGTGTGTGGGGGGGGCTTATAGAGGTATTTCATAACGTCCTCTCGGTGGTGTTATAGGGCTTAATGGCCTTAGTTATATCACTAGCATTTTCGGGGGTTTCTGTGGCCATTGCGTTTTTGGAATAACGCCGTTGATACGGTGAATAAATAACATAATTGCTTCCAGCTGAGGAATTCCTAAGTAATATACTTTTCTGAGTATATCCCGAAACGGAGTTCCGTTCGTCAAGGCCCCTGTATTATTCAGGCTTCTATAGTAATCCACGGCACCGGGATGGTTCTTGAAAGGCGGTTGGGCCCTGGGGCTTTCGAAACTGACGGAGACCTAAATCTCGAAGTTCAACGCGACACTTAGGGTTAACTGCCTAGGGCATAAGGGTGTCGGGTGTCTGGATCATGGTCGAGGTTTTGGATTTTGTGGTCAGGGCATAGGGGCCTAAACCCCTCCAGCCCTCAACTACATCAAGCCCCCTACACCCGACAGCACCGCAAAACGTCGAGGGAAAAATTGTGCAAAACCCTCTGCAGCATTGAAGAGAAATACAACGAACCCCTGAACGTTCTGCAGGATTTATGTGGGTTCCTACTCCCTGTAAAAAGTAAGCAACCAAACTCTCAGATCCCTTAAAAGAAACCATAGCCCGGCCCAAAAAAGACAAAACACAAGCAACAAGTAGCCAAAGGACCTAAAGAGTCGAACGATTCATAGGATTCTCTATAGATGACACTAAGCCCGAATCCTGAATCCTGAACCCTAAACCAGGAACCCTAAACCCTAAACCCTGAACCTTGAACCCTAAACCCTAAACCCTGAACCCTGAACCCTGAACCCTAAAGACCCTGAACCCTGAACCCTAAACCCTAAAGACCCCAGCCCCAGGCGACCGAAACGGGGCAAGGCCCTAAAATCGTGAGCCCGAGCCTCACCAGGCTGCTAGGAAACTCGGAGTAGTGGTCGTTTTGGGAGCTTCAGAAACTTAGGGTTTCAGGGTTTAGGGTGTTAGGGTGTTAGGGCTTAGGGCTTAGGGTTTTAGGGTTTAGGGTTTTAGGGTTTGGGGTTTACGGCTTAGGGTTTAGGGTTTTAGTGTTTAGGATTTGGAGTCTAGGGTTAGGGATCCTTTAATAAAAGGCTCCTTAAAAGGATCTGTAAGGGTAGTAAAGGGTTACGGTCTTAGGGGATTTGGGGCATGAGGGTAGCCTAGGTTTCTCAGTAACCCCTGAACAATAAGGCTACCCTTGTTCCTAATATTCAATGTTTTAATAAGGGGACCCCAAAACCAAAAAGGGCAAAAGGTTACAACTCAGGATCCTAGTAGGGTCTTGGGGCATAGGACTCTAGGTATATAGGATTTAGGGTACCGGGTTTTGGATTTAGGGCTTTAGGGGATAGGGTTTCCGGGTTTTGGGTTTCAGCGTGCTGCTTCAAGGGTTTAGGGTGTCAAGGGGCTGAGGTAGGTCAGTGTCTACGGTTGGGGCAGGGCGCCAAATTGCGAACTCTGGCTGGTGAAACCCTGGAGGGTGCTTATCTGGGGATGCTCGACTTTGATGTTTTGGGCTTCGGGGCTTTGGGCCCTAAACCCCATTAGAGGTGGGAGTGTCTTTTTTTTGAGAGGGTGATGTTAGCGATTCGTGCTTTGAGGCTTGGTAGAGGTTTTCGGAACTTAAGGATTCAAGAAGACCCAGTTCAATTCGACCAAAGCTCTTCGGAACCGCTCCTGCTGTCACCGGCCGGCTAAAGCGCTGGGAGGGGTTGAGGGCTATAGCGTTTAGGAGTCACCTAGGGCTCATTGGAGGTTCCGAGATCAGCTTGCTAGAATCCATGCCTGTCGTCGGACAACCCTAAACCCTAAACCCTAGCGATTTTTGGGTCGAAGTCCTGCTGCAATCGCACAGTCCCGTGGCCAGGATAACTTCTATCTACTGCTGGCCCCTTGTCCGTAACTTAAGCTTTAGAACAAGACAACACTGACCATGATCTAGTTTCGGAAACAAAGATGCACGGCCCTTGCAGTTCCAACATGGTAATGGTCTTGATGCTGACGACGATAGTGATGATGGTGTTGATGACGATGCTGACCATGCTGAAGCTGATGATGAGGATGATGATGATGATTATGATGATGATGGCGATGATGATGATGATGGTGATGATGATGATGACGATGCTGCTAACACTGCTGCTGATGATGATGGTAACGGTGGTGATGATGATACTGATGGTGGCGGCGGTGGTGGTGATGCAGAAGCAGATGATGACGATGATGCTGATGAAGATGGTGCTGGTGATGGTGATCTTGATGGTGATGGTAATGGCGATGGTGACGCTGATGATGAGGATGAGGATGAGGATGCGGCTGCGGATGAGGTTGAGGATGACGACGAGAGTAAACAGGCAGCCGACGATGAAGAACTGATGACATCAAAGCTGGTTAGTTATGCTGTGTGTTGCTGATGCTGATGATTGTGGTGGGCGTGACACGAAGAAAGCCTCCGTAAGTTCTACTGAATCTGATGTGTGGGGTACCAGGGAGCACAGATTACACGGTGACTCACTCAACATCTATGCCTTGGAGCATGACCATAACAACCACAATGGCGGCGGTATACTATACGATGAGACTATGACTATGAAAACGGGACTGTAAGGGAATACCCAATGACAATCCTAATCAAGATACCTCCGTGCTGCGCAGCCGGCAGGGTGCGGAAAGCGCGCTGTCAAGTTAGCTAGAGGCCCCTTCTCTCATCATACCTGGCTCAGGGGCTTAAGGGTTTAGGGGTAGGCTTTTAAGGGGGGCTTCGGGTTTTAGGGTTTAGGGTGTGGGGGCTCAAGAGTTACGATGGATCGAGGGTTTAGGGCCAGGGTTCTCATGCTGAAACCCCCGCGCCCAACACTCAAAACTTGGGAAGCTGTTCCTACCGTTTCCTTCTTGCTAGTGCAACGGACTGGCCGTGTTATGCGTATCGATCACTTACCAAACTTCCTACGTTCCTACACAATCTGCCTCACCGTACTATATCAGTTGGGGCCAGAGTCTCCGTTAAAGCTTTAAAGTCGACTGGGATCTAGGGCCCCCAATAAGATCGGAGCTGATAACCCTAAACCCCTAAACCGCTAAACCCCTAAACCCTAAACCCCTAAACCCTTAAACCCTAAACCCCTAAACCCCTAAACCCTAAACCCTAAACCCTTAAACCCTAAACCCTAAACCCCTAAACCCCTAAACCCCTAAACCCCTAAACCCTTAAACCCTAAACCCCTAAACCCCTAAACCCTAAACCCTAAACCCCTAAACCCTACACCCCTAAACCCTAACCCCTAAACCCTAAACCCCTAAACCCCTAAACCCCTGAACCCGAAAGCTGGTGGCTTGTCGCGCCGGCACTTCAGGATTCGGGGTAATGGTTTCGGGCTGAAGCCCTACGGCAACCGGAATAAAGGCTCCTTAAAGGGATCTATAGGGTTCCTTAAAGGGATCTATAGGGTTTAGGGTTTAGGGTCTACTTGCAGGATCAGGGGACTTAGTAAGTTAGGTTATAAGTACCTTGATTGGGGTTATAAGAAATTAAAAGTATTATGGTTACCTTATATAATTGTAACCGTAATTACTAAGTCCCATGATCCTTCCAAGTAGACCCTAATCCCTAAACCCTATAGATCCCTTTAAGGAACCCCCTATAGATCCCTTTAAAGGAGCCCTTTTAAGGAACCCTATAGTTACTAAGTCCCATGACCCTTCAAGTACGGCAACCGGAAAGGAACCAAAAATCCGGAAAGTCGCCTCTCAGTGCTTCTGGGAATAGATCAGACTCCCATACTCTGAGGTTCATGTTTTTGGGTTTAGGGTTTATGGTTCCTTTAAGGCCCTTTAAAGGGATCTATAGGGATTCTATAAGGGTATAGGGTTTAGGGATTACTTGGAGGTTCATGGGTAGTTATAAGTGGGGTTATACGTCCCCTAATATGGGTTATAACTATAGTTACTGTTGATGCACAGAGACACCCATGACGTTTGCGAGCTCTTGTGTTGAAGTTTGATGTATAGCAAAGGCAGAAGCAGATCACCCGGCGGTGTTATGGCTGAAGGGTGGGCTGCGGAAAATGCCCCTTGAGTCGTCACGTGTTAGCTGTAAGCATGCTCAACTTGTACACTTGCGAGCAGTGCAACAGCACCATACAGTAACGACAACTGCGACTTTGTGTGTGCGGTGAAAAGTGAAGTTAGTGAAGCTTGTGCGCCATGGAAGCCCCGAGTGAGCCCGATTACAGTCAACTGCCAATACCCCAACCTGCGGCTGAAGATCAACAGGGTATGAGCCCAAATACTGCAAGCGCGACGGCCGCAGTCGATGCTTCAAGAACTGCAGTTGGGGCAAGGCAAACTGACGGGCAAGCGTCGGGCTTTGGTGCGATGGAAACGGAGGTTGCGCTCAGGACGATGACAGTGGCGATGGCCACTACTCCGAGTGGCTCTCCGCAGGGCTGGGGCTCGCCGGGTGGCCGGTTGATGCAGATGAGCCAGCAACATGAAGTGGTCACGAGTGTGGACCAGCAGCCAAGGTTTGAGGGCGTTCAGAACGCCGCCCAAGCGTCGTGGTCTGTGGCTTCTACGAGGAGATCGGTTCCTGTGTGGGTGCAGCGCTTGGGGGCTTTCTTTCAAGAAATGAGGCCACAGGGACAAAGCCCAGCTATGTGGGCTCCATCGCCTATGGGATCTCCCCCTCAGCAAGCACCTCGGAGAGCGTTGGGACCTGGTAATGCGGAAGGAGGACATGGTGGTGGACAGGGACCAGCACCGCTCCTGTCCCCGCAACATCAGGAGCAGCTTCGAAGGATGGAGCGAAATGCGCCGCTCCTTTATGGGCCGAGGCAGGAGCGAGGCCAGGAGAGTTCTGGTGGCTCCACGTATGAGGCGGTTCAAGAGGAGGTCAAGAAACAACTTCGTGGGGTTGTTGAACAGCTGGAAGCTAGCCGACAAGAAGCGCATGGATTGCGGCAGGAGGTGCTGCGATTGCGCAACAGTCGTGAGCATGGCAATGACCAGGACTCCTACGAGTATCCGCAAGGGCCTCCGCGGGCTTTTGGTGGCTATTTGAGTGGGGATGTGGTAGAAAACCAAGGTGTTCGTCCGATGGCCAAGGCAGCATTGCCTCCGTTACCTCTTCGTGCAAGGACTTCTACAACGGAAGCATCGGGCTTACAAACAGCAGGAACTACCACTGAGGCATCGGGCGTACAAGCGACATTGCCTTCTACAGCGGTGTCGGGCTTACAAGCGCCATTGCCTACCACAGCGGCTTCGGGCTTATATGCAGCTCAACCTACCACGGGGACATCGGGCTTGGATGCAGGTTTGACGGTTCCTACGGTGACGGCGGTGCAAGGTGCAGGGGGACAGCCTGGACTTGGTACTCAGGATGTTCCGATGGGTACCGGTGACGACGGCTCACGTGGTGATCCAATGACGAGGCTGCTTGAGGGTTTGGAGAAGGTGATCAAGGGCAACAAGCCGGAGGAGCTCTCTAAGAGTGTGGAGGCCCCTAAGCTGCCGGAGATCTCGGAATCTTCCTCGGTGGACTTTGGAGACTGGTTGTATTGCTTGGAGCATTCGATGGGCGACTTGTCTGCGAGCAGTGCGGAGTGGTGGAGGATGGTCGTCAAAGATGCTCAAGACTACTACGACAAATACCAGCAAGCAGATCAGTTTGCAAGGTTGGCCCTGAAACCGGAGCAGTGCACGGGACTCCAGGACCCAAAGTGGACAAGAGTGGATAGACGTGGTGCGTCGCTCCTGATCGCGGCTACCCCAGACGACGTGAAGAAGGAGATCATCGCTTCGAGGGCTAAGACAACCTTGGAGGTGCTCTCCAGGCTGATGGTGTTGTACAGGCCAGGCAGTGCTGTGGAGAAAGGGCAGTTGCTCAAGAAGATTGAGAACCCAGAGCCGGCTAGCACCCCTCAGGAGGCAGTAGAGTCGCTGAGACAGTGGCTACGGTACTACCAACGAGCACGTGACCTACGGCTGGGAACACCGGATCCATCGATTCTGGTTAGAGCGTTGGACAGTATGCTGAAGAAGCCGATAACGGACAACCAGGAGATCACGTTCAGAATGAACCTCCTTCGTTACCACTTGAAGGTGGACTTTGCCCCAACGGAGGACAACGTGTTGGCTGTGCACAGGGCGTTCTTGGCGGAGTTTGAACAGTTGGGTTTCCGAAAGCCTAAGGTGGTGAAGGCACAAGATCCCCCAGCCAATCCAAAGGTCAGGGCTGTGGAAGCGCCGCAGGGTTCTACACCGATGCCAACAACGACACCGAAAGGAGGTCTGAGACCATGTCGGTTCTACCTGTCAGATGAAGGGTGCAGAAGGGGAAAGGCTTGCAAGTACGAGCACTCGATGAAGGAGCTCAGCAAGGCCGAACGCAGGGACCGGTGCTATGAGTGTGGTGCCAAAGGTCATTTGTCGTCGGCGTGCCCTACCCGGAAAGAATCTGCCCAACAAAAGGCAATGGCTACAGGAGACTCGCCGCAGTCCTCTACCGGGGGTACCAATGGAAGAAGGAATGCAGGTGGTCCTTCGAGAAGTCCAAAGGGGGCAGAGAAGGATGCAATCGCCCAGACCGGCACAGGAGTGGAGCCTGCCCAAGCGACCGTGCAGGCAGAATCTCCGGTACAGGGGGTTCCGGTGGAGCAGCTCTTGGAGGACGCTCAGAAGCTGATGAAGGCTTTCATGGAGCAAAAGAGCACCCCGAATATCAAAGTGCTTCGCGTGGAGACTACGCAGGAAGCTGATGTAAGGGCTTCACCGGCGCTCAGAGAGCTGATGAAGTCGGAAGAGGACATGGTGAACATGTGTAGAATGGGTCTTCTGGACTCAGGAGCTACGCATGCCCTCCGCCCACGAACCCCGCAGGACAAAGGCGAGAAGACCAGCGTGAGTGTTACGCTGGCAGGGGAGCAGAAGGTGCAGATGGACCAGACCAAGAGTGGGACGATCCTAGGCGACAAGCAGACACAGCCCATTGTGCCGTTGGGAACTCTGGTGCAGGCGCTCGGCTATGAGTTCGCATGGGATCGCAAAGGTTGTAGACTCAGGCACCCAGACAGGAAGGAGATCAAAGTCTACACGCGGTCCAATTGCCCGGAAATTGCCCAGTGTGACGCGCTGCGCCTCATTGCGGAGTTGGAAGAGGCAAAGTTGTCCGAGGCTATGGGATCACTGGCTACCTTGAGGTCAGCGATTATGGCGGCAAGGGACTACACACAGTGGGGTTGGAAAGAGGCGATCCGTGAGTATGTGTCGACAAGAGAAAAGGAGACCGGGGTGAAAGCGGTCTTGGCAGCCCCGTTCATGCACCATGTACCAATGGAGGACCAGTTGAAGGTGGTAGTGGAGATGCCAAAGACCTCAGAAGAAGCATGGACTTGGATGAAGAGCTTCCCGCTCAACCGAGCTAAGAGGCGACAGCTATGGCAAGCTCCAGACTGGACGGTGCACTTGTTTGCGGGAAAGGGAGTGAAGAATGATCCTCTTCGGGATCTGCCTGGGTTCCTGGAGATTGACTTGCAGAAGGGGTGGAACCTCAACGACGGCAAGATCTATGGAGTTCTGCTGTGGGCGGCTACTCAGGGTCGCGTGAAGCAGGTCATCGGGGGACCACCTGGTGGGACGTTTGCGCCTTTCCGTTATCAGTCTGGAAGAGACGGACCTCGTCCAGTGAGGTCCAATCATGAGCCTTGGGGACTTCGCGAGGGACTTGGAGTTGAGGAGTCTACAAAGGTGAAGAATGAAAACGCGATGATCCTCAAGATGATTTGGTTGTGGACCTTTGCAGAAGCAGCGCTTGATGATCCAGATGTACCAGGACACAAGGTGGGGTTTTGCATGGAGTTTCCCGAAGACCCAAGGAGTTATCTTCCAGAGGGAGATCAGAAGCAAAGCTGCGTGTCCGTTTGGAGAACAGAGTTCATGAGGGAGTTCATCAACGTCACACAGTTTAGCCAGGTGAAGTTTGAGCAGGGTGCCCTGGGGCACCAGAACAGGAGGCCCACGTGCTGCCTTACCAATTTGGAGTTGGGAATACAGGGCTTGAAGGATTCGCGAGCGTTTTTGAGCAACGAGGAGGCGGATCCTGATCAGTCAGTGTGGCCGTTTGGATTCAGGATCACCTTGGCAGATGCGATTCATGAGTGGATTGTGGCTCGGAGCGCCATTGCGGTGAAGAAGGCCATGACCAAGTCTGAGCTTGCCGAGTGGAAGGCGCATATTGAACGAGGCCATATAAGGGACTGCTCGGTGTGCTTGTCGGCTTCGGGAACGGGTAGACCAGCGAGGCGAGTGGTTCACAGAGATGCATATGTTCTCAGCCTGGACATAGCGGGACCTTTCGCAGATGTGGGTCGCGATGAAGTTCGTGGGTGTCGGTACAAGTTTGCGCTTGCAGCAACCTATTTGTACCCCAAGGTCCGAGATGTTCCAGAAGACAGCCCTATCCCAGACGAGGAGGAGGCGGAGAAGTTCCTCGCTGAGGAGGAGGATCAGCCTGAAGACGGTGAGCAGGGCCCGGAGGATCCAAGCGCGGATGCTCAAGAAGAAGAGTGGAAGAGGAAGGTCGAGGACCTCAAGAAGCCGATGGAGATGCAAGCCTTGCGCTTTGTGATCCCGTTGGAGCGTCATTCGGGCAAGGAGGTGCTGGAAGCGGTACAGGACCTTCACATTCGCATTCGAGCCCTTGGCTTGCCGGTGGTGCGAATACACTCAGACAGGGCAAGAGAGTTCAGGGTGAAGCCGCTGAGGAAATGGTGTCGCGAAAGAGATATATATCAAACGTATACGGAGGGTTTAGCGCCCGCCCAGAATGCCACTGCGGAAAGCCATGTGAAGTGGTTGAAAAGCAAGGCAAGGCTCCACCTTCAAGACGCGGAGCTGGACAAGGAGCTTTGGCCGTGTGCGATGAAGCACGCGTGTAAGCTCCACAATGCCAGAGAGCTTGGAGAAAAGGCTCCTGAAATCCGGTTCGGAGCTGTGGTCTGGGTGAAGTCCAAGAAGGACAGAGGGCCGTTTGATCCGAAGTGGGAGCGAGGTGTGTACATGGGGCCAGCAGATGATGTTCGAGAGGGACATGTTGTGCGGCTAGATGATGGGCTGTGGCTACGCACGTTGCATATGAGGACAGTGCGGGACGATGAGGTCGAGGACGATGAAGAGGAAGAGTTCGTTGTGGACCTTGTGGAGCCGACCCGTAGATTGCGAATGAAGACCAAGCTCACCGACCCAGAGGTGAGGGCAATGGATGCAAAGTGTCGCAAGACGTTGGTGGATAAGCTGTTGGCATCCCCTATTTGGAGTTCACCTGAGGCAAAGATAGAGCGGCCGCAGATGAAAAATGGAGAAGCTTGGGAGGACGCAGCCTACGTGAACCTTGGGGCCTACCAGCACGGCGGGATCACAAGCATCACGGTTGCGACAGAGAAGTTTTCGCATGAAGCGGAGCTGGCAACGAGCCTGCTGAAGAAAGACCACCCAGGTAAGGTCTTTACGTCAGTGGCGCTCGTAAAGAATGCCACTATGCCGTTGCACAGAGATGCTTTCAACATGAAGTCCACTGTGAACTTGGTTTCTCCTCTCAAAGTGTCCAAAGGGAGCAGTGTGTGGCAAGAGATGAAGCCTGGAGATGAGTTCTATGGGAAGTACAAGGCCATGTGGTTCAGGGAGAAGGAGATCCCCGGTCAGTTGTTCAGTGTGGAAAAGCCTACTACGGTGCGTCCAGACAGGCTACATGCCCCACTCCGTGGAGAAGATGGTGACCGAATTGTGATCATCGGCTACACGGTGAGCAAGTGGGAGAAGCTGTATGATCACCAATGCGAGGACCTTATGGAGTTGGGTTTTCAGCTTCCGGAACGGGAGCCGCAGCTGAGGATGTTCGGACACGAAAAGGCCAGACCACCAGCGCCGCCAATCCCTATGGACTCAGGAGAGGGATCTACAATGATGCCACCAACGGGGACTACGGCGGTGTCGGGCTCCAGTTTCTTGGGACCAGGATCTTCCAGCGAATCAACGCTGCAGAGGCCTCCTACGGAAGAAGGTATGGAGGTGAGTTCAGGGACAGCACCAATGGGTCCGATCTCGAGCTCATCGGCAAGCTCAGGAAGGCGTCCAGAAGGTTTCCCAGAGTTGAGTGGGGAGAGGATGGACACAACGGTCATTCCTGGAGGAAGGATCGAGCTGAGACTTCGCTGCACGATGGAAGTCAGGAAAACGTGGTTATGACTTCCACCCCCCTCATGCCCCTGGGTCACGATGAGGAGGAGCACTTGAGGAGGAGGGTGTCCTGGCTTTCGGACTTGGTGGAGGAAGAGAGACAAGCTCGGCGGGCCAGGGAAGCTCGTGGAGAGTACGCGGGCCAGAGGGAGCGGCAGATGTTCTACAAGCTCGATGAAGCCATCGACTACATGAACGAGCTCCTGGCAGTCAGCGACCACACGAGGCAGCAGAACAGGGTGAACTTGATGAGAATGGCGGTGGGCCACAACACCTCGGAGAATGTGGAGGAAATGTTAAGGGCATTGGACAAGCCCTTGGAGACTGTTCACACAGTGGATTTGCAGGAGGTTAAGCGGCACCTGCAAGAGTGGACCCCAAGCATTGCGAAGGAGGTTCAGACGCTGGAGGGTTCGGGGACTCTTCGGCCCATGCCCCTCCAAGAGGCAAGGGAGAAGGCAGCGAAGGGTGAGTTGGTCCTGGTTCCAGCGAAGACGGTGCATACAGCAAAACCTCCTGGGGAAGGTGATGGATTGTTCAAAAGACGTTCAAGGATTGTGATCTGCGGAAACTACATCAACAATGAGGTGGAGGTGTATACAGCCTCAGCCAATGCAGAGAGTGTGAGGTGCTCGCTGTCATATGGGGCCAGAAAGAGGTGGCATGGTGCAGTTACAGATGTGAACTCAGCTTTTACCCTCACCCCTATGACAGAGTCAAAGGTCCGCTACGCGATCACGATGCCAAAGGTGGTGGTGGATGCGGGTTGCGCACCCGCACAGACAGCCTACCTCGTGGACCGCGTCCTCTACGGCCTGAGGGAAGCACCAAGGTTGTGGGGAAGTTTTCGAGATCGCCGGATCAGCAGAGCCAAGCTTAAGATGGGAGACAAGCAGTGTGTCTTCTTGCAGATGGAGACGGACCCCGCGGTTTGGCGTCTGGTGGAGGTGGGCAACGAGTCCGAAACACTGGCCCTCATGATCGTGTATGTGGACGATGCTATGATGTTGATCACAGAGGGCACCGAGGGTGACGAAGGATGGAAGTGCTCGCCTTTGGAGTGGTTGGGAAAAGAGCCCGTACGCTACCTGGGAATGGATGTGAGGCGAAGGGAAAAGAGAGAGGCTATTAGCTTCCACATTTCCCAGGGGAGCTATGTTACGGAGCTTCTTAGAAACTACCCCGAGGAGGCAGCAAGACCATCCCAAATCCCAGCGTCCAAGGAGGTGATGCCAATGGGAGAAGAAGGTGAAGCAGAAGCCGGGCCAGTTGATGAAGATTTGGTCAGACAAGCACAGAAGATGGCAGGTGAGCTTCTGTGGCTTCTCACGAGAACAAGGCCAGATGTGGGATTTGCGACAGCTCATGTTTGCAGCGCGGCTACCAAGGACCCAGCATCTGCAATCAAGCTAGCCAAGATGACTATGAGGTATTTGGCTTCGACGGTGTCTTGGGGGCTATGCTATGATGGGCAAGGTGGTCCAGTGGTTGCATACTCGGACGCGAGCTTCGCCCCTCAAGGAGATCGCAGCTTTGGTTGTGTGACAACAGCTACCTATGGTGGTTTCGCGGCTTGGCGGATGACGAAGCAGCCCACTATAGCTTTGTCGGCTGCGGAGGCAGAGCTGGTAGAGCTGTTAAACGCAAGTCAACAAGCAGCTGGCCTGCAGGCGTGGGTCAACGAGGTGTCCAGCAAGGATGCAGATGAACCCATGGAGTTGCGAGTGGACAACACAGCGGCGTGTGGTTTGGCTACTACAGCACCGGGATCGTGGAAGACAAGGCACCTCAAGGTGAAGGCCAGACACCTACGAATGGAGACCAACGAAGGTCGGATTGTGGTTACCCACACGCCGGGCGAAGTGCAGGTGGCAGACATGGGAACAAAGCCAGTCCCTGTGTCAAGGCTTCAGGATTTGAGGAAGCTGTGGAGAATGTGTTCGGCGGAGGACTTTGAGAAGGACGATGGTGAGGTGATTATCAGGTCCTTGCAAGGCCCGGAATACTACGACTTACTACGGATGTTTGTGTGGTTGATGATGGTTTCAAGGGTCCCGACAGCAGAGACAGCAGAGGTTAACAGCAAGAAGCCGTTGGACTATGATGGAAGTTTCGAGTTCTATGGGCTGTTGCTGATTGCGGGTGTGGCGTTGCTGGGAATGTGGGAGACGCTCAAATGGGTAGCCCACAAGTTCTTTGGCGATGATGAGGCCACAATCGCGAAGGCACGTCGGTTGCTGAGGATTCGAAACCAGGCCACAAAGGCCTTACAGGAAGAGCTGGCTTCTATGACGAGTGCGAGCTCATCGGATCCAATGTTTGAGGGAAAGCCCAACTTGGTGAAAGAAGCTCCTGGAATGATGCCACAGGAGCCGTTGGGAATCACTACAGCGGGGAGTATCGCACCGACCACAGCGGGGAGTACCACGCCGGCTACAGCGAGAAGTGCGACGCCGGCTACGTCTAGCGCGGCGGCTACTACAAGGGCTGTTGACGACCCGGACTTACGGGCAGCCTTGGAAAGTGCCCAGAACGGACAGTACCGTCGCCTCAGAAGGAGCTTTGTGATGTCGGAGCACGGTGACCGACTTCATACAGTCGCAGATTGTCATGGGCTACGACACGCCAACAAGACCAGGTTGAAACAGATGCAGGTCTGTTACTACTGCGATGGCAATTTCCCCTTGTACTACAAGGTAACCCATGGACAAGTTCTGCCGGAAGGGTGATGTGCATCGGATGTGCATTTGGGGACGTCGCCCCAAAGGAGGAGGAGTGTTGATGCACAGAGACACCCATGACGTTTGCGAGCTCTTGTGTTGAAGTTTGATGTATAGCAAAGGCAGAAGCAGATCACCCGGCGGTGTTATGGCTGAAGGGTGGGCTGCGGAAAATGCCCCTTGAGTCGTCACGTGTTAGCTGTAAGCATGCTCAACTTGTACACTTGCGAGCAGTGCAACAGCACCATACAGTAACGACAACTGCGACTTTGTGTGTGCGGTGAAAAGTGAAGTTAGTGAAGCTTGTGCGCCATGGAAGCCCCGAGTGAGCCCGATTACAGTCAACTGCCAATACCCCAACCTGCGGCTGAAGATCAACAGTTACCCTACTTACCACCCTATATACATATAAGTACCCATGAACCTCCAAGTATTCCGAGTTGGGGAGGGGTTCGGGTTTGCGGCTCAGATCGAAAAGCTTGTGAAGACCTCACTTGCATACTTGCAGGATCAGGGGACTTAGTAAGTTAGGTTATACGTACCTTAATTGGGGTTATAAGTAGATAGAAGTTATAAGTATGGTTACCTTCATTATCACCGTCGTTACTAAGTCCCATGATCCTTCAAGTACCCTAGAGGGCTGCTTGCTTGCAACTGTAGGGTCCTCGAACCCGGACCCGAGATCACTTAGTAGCTGAGTTCATAAGCCCCCCAAAAGTGTACACTTTTGGTTTTATAGTGGGGAATATTATCCCAAAAAGTGTAAAGTGCATCCACTCAGCTACTAAGACTACTAAGATCAAGGAATTTGTGGCTAACAGCCCCGTGGATTTCCAGCTCAATCAAACCCTAAACTCTATACCCAAAACTATATATGTCAAGTCAGTTGACTTCTTCTCCGCCCTAAACCTTAAAATCCTAAACCCTGCACCCTGAAACCGTAAACACTATACTATACCCCGAAACAAGTCCGTTGTCTTGTTTTGGGCTCGCCTCCACCGCACCCAGTCCCATGGAGTCCAGGTACACTTTGACAGAGACCTGGCACCCCTAAACCCTAAACCCCTAAACCCTAAACCCACCCAAAAAGAGGTCTAGGGTTTCAGGAGTTTGGGCCTTAGATCTTGGATCTTTCTAGATTGGCTTCTGGGTTTACATTTCAGGTCTTGGGATGTTAGGTTTCAGGTGGTCCAAACTTTTGGATTTAGGCTCTCACGAAGCTGACGATACCCGGCTTACTACTTACGACTCTGACTTGACTATGATGATGGCTAATACTACGTCTGCGAGTCTCGCCTATGTATAATCTATGTGTACTAGCCATCTCCTTCGTTCTCACGGGTGGCATCTAATTAGTGCTGGTCCGCGTCAATTCTGCTGTTTAACTAGCATTCTCTGCATCTTCTCGAAAGCGCTGCAGAAGCAGGGGTGTGGTCTTCTCGGAGCTGGTGCGACTTCGCTGCGCTGTGGTCGCAGGCATTCGCACGAGCATTCAAAGGTTTAAGCAAGTCTGAAGCCTTAAAGTACTCCCTAATTATATAGGTACATTGGGCCAAAAGTATATGTTATAGGGTACATAGGTAAGGAGTCCCAGCACTAATTGCCCTTAATCCGGTTTCCAACGTTTTGGTGTTTGCTACTGGCTGGTTGTCAAAGTTAAGGTCCCCTTTTAGGTACCCTAAATATTAGGTGCCGTACTAGATTAGGGACCCAAAAGAGGGCGATAATTTTGACAACCACCCTACTGTTGATGCTAAATCCTGCATTTTCCACAATAAGGAATATACATTTATTCCCATAGTGCTAATGCAGGATGTGTATCATCAACCGTATACCCCCCCCCCCCCCCGCTGCTGGCTCCAATGTGCAAGGAGAACCATAGCTCCCTCGCTCAGCGACTCCTTACCCTCTTTCAGGTCCTGCTTGTGGAGGTACACCTCAACGGGCTTGGGTTTAGGGATTTGGGGTTTAGAGATTAGGGATTTAAGGGTTTAGGGTGTAGGGTTTAGGGGTTGAGTGGCTTAGGGTCTCGGAGCTCTGTTAAGGGCTACATGCTGTTTCTTTACGCATGTTAGACCCACCCCCTCCAAGTCGGACCTCTCCTTAAGATGAGGGTTTAGGGGGTAGGGCCGCTACAAAGGCAAAAGTTCTACTGTGACGTCTTGCTCGCAATTATCAAAGCAAGACCTTAGGATTTAGAGTATTAAGGTTCTGCGAGGTTTTGGGCTTAGGTTGGTGCTTCCGGAGGTACACCTCAAGGTGTACGCTTTACCGTTTGACGGTGTGGGGGTTGGGTATGTTTCAGGCTTGTAACTGACTTGTATATTGAGGTTGGACACCCCTGGCAGAGCTGCAGCGCACATGAAGCAGCCACGGTTTAGGGGCCGGGTACCTCCACGAGCCAAGACGTCTTGAAGAACCCTTCCAGGATACGTGTAAAGGCTCTGTAACAAGTCCTAAGGTGCACTTCCGCGTGTACCCTAAACCCTAAACCCTAATCCCCTAAACCCTGAACCCCTAAACCCTACACCCCTAAACTCTAAACCCTAAACCCCTAAACCCTGAACCCCTAAAACCCTAAACCCTGATGAACCCCAATGCCCCGAGCCACCCTGCACCCGAAGTCCCAAAACTCAGACCCTGCCCTGGCTGTGGCCTTGCCCTCTCGCTTGGAGGCCTTGGCCAAGAAACTTGGGCTGGAACACCGGTTCTGGGTTTAGGGTTCAGGGTTTGATGGTTCGGGGTTTGGGGTTTAGGGCGCTCAGGCTTTAGGGCTCAAAGGTTCGGGATTAGGCTTCAGGGTTCAGGGCTTGGGTTTAGGTTTTTTTTTAATGCTATTTTGCGGGCCCTTTTCCTCCTTGCAACAGGGGGCTTGGGTTGTTTCTTAAGTTGAAGTGTGCCCCTTTGTCTGCTCGGCTCTTGGCGCTGGCCCTCCACTCGATTCATGCGAAAACCACCTCTCGTTCCCGGTCTCGATTTAGGGTTTAGGATTTCGGGACAAGTTTCATATGGCGCAATACATAAGAGAAGTGATGATTAGAATACGGGTTCCTGCACTTGTCCCTTTCGAAGCAAAGAATGAGGTTTTGAGAGAGGCCCCCAAACCCCAACCCCCTAATCCGACTTTCATTTGCCATCCTTCTGCCGGCCAAAGAATTGCGGCAAAAACTGCCATAAAACCTTCAACCAAAAGCCTAAACCCTAAACCCAAAAGCTAAATCCTTAGAGTCCTTGGTGGCGGACTGCTGGGTGCTCTAGTGGCTGAATCAACTTCACCTCGAGCTCTGCAAGGGTTAGCGGATTGGTTAGCGGATCCTACTTGTCGGGTATCATGGGGAACCAAAGGTTAACCTTTTTGGGTATATAGGGATCATATAAGGACTATACTACCCAAAAAAGGTTAAAGGTTACTTACTCTACTACTAAGTTACTAGGGGATTGGTTTAGGATCTTAGGGCGTCTTCGGGTTTAAAGACATCGTTTAGGAGTTCAGTGCGCAAGGCGTTTCGTGTTGCGGGCTCGAGAGCTTTGGGGCTTTGGAGTTCAGAGTTTAGGGTGTGCGATCCAGGTGGGTGGTTGTCAAAATTAGGGTCCCTTTTTGGGTACCCTAAATATTAGGTGCCGTACTATAATGGGGACCCAAAAAAGGGACCCTAATTTTGACAACCACCCGGGTATTAGGGTGCATGGTTTGAGGTCCTCTAGTTGGGCCTGAAAGTCACACGATTATTGTCCTATACAAGTTCTGCAACTTACATCCAAAAACATACAAATGCCCAATTCTTTACAGGCGAGTTCGTTTCAATTTGATTATATGGAATCAGTCGTGCTCGAATGGACCTATCTAACGCTGCTCTGGGGTTCGGACTTTAGGTGTAAGGCTTAGGCCCTCTACCCTGAACCCTAAACCTTAACGGGCAATATAGGGGTCTTAATGCTCAGAATAGGGTTTTGGGTGATATTATGCTATAGTCGTAATAAGTATAAGGAACTCCCTTCATGGTATTGGTAATTGTTTAGGCCCCTTTCGTATCCTCCAGACGGACGGCTTCGACGACGGGGCTTTGGGCTGAAGGGCTACAGCTCTTCAGGGCTCTGTGCGCCAGCGTCAGGTCGACCCATAAGCCCTCATAAAACCCTGACGGAACCCCATCCAACCCCGTTTAACAAAAATAACATAAGCCCCCCCCCTCCAAAAAAAAACTGCAAAGAATCCCATAAGTCAACTGATAGCTCTTTACCGAGAAACTCTAAACCCTACACTTCTCATGGAAATCGACTCATACTGCTGATGGACAAAATCCTGCATTACCCATTATAAGGAATATACCATAGTGCCCATAGTTTAAAGTCCTGAGGGTCATGCAGGATTTTGTCCATCAACAGGACCAAGGCCAGGCTCCCGGCCCAGCCGAACTGACCCTTCCACTCCATCACCGTGGCAGGAAGAGGCGCCTTTGAGTGTGCTTTTTGTTTCTTTTGGGAGCCTGAAGCTTTAGGGGTCGAGGCTTTTTAACTTTAGGGTTTCGAGCTGAGGGTTTAGGGTTAAGGGTTTGAGTTGTAGGGTTGAGGGTTTAGGGGCTTCATGGTTTGAGTTTTAGGGTTGACTGTTTAGGGGTTTAGCGGTTTAAGTTTTAGGGTTGAGGGTTGAGTGGTTTCAGGTTGAGGGTTTAAGAATTTAGGTGCTTGGGCGTTAAAGGGTTCAGGGTTGAGGGTTTAGGGGTTTAGGGTTGAGGGTTTGGTGGCTTAAGGGCTTAAGTTATAGGGATGAGCAGTGTAGGGGTTTAGTTTTCAGTGGTAACCACGTGGAGGCTCAGGGGACTTAGCCAGTATCTTCAAGTAGGGCTGTAGTTCGGAAAACACCGATTCAGGTACGGCAAAGCCCGAGAACAACCGACACGCTGAGCCCAATGATCCGGCGAGTACCTTGACACTACCATAGCCTACTTGTTCATGGTCCCTACGGGTTTAAGGGCTTGGGGTTTAAGGGTCTACGTTTTCTTTAAGGT